GGGAGACGGACTAGAGTCACCTCTGGACTCTGGACGGGAGACTGGGACTGGAGTCACCTCTGGACTCTGGATGGGAGACTGGGACTGGAGTCACCTCTGGACTCTAGACGGGAGACTGGGACTGGAGTCACCTCTGGACTCTAGACGGGAGACTGGGACTGGAGTCACCTCTGGACTCTAGACGGGAGACTGGGACTGGAGTCACCTCTGGACTCTGGACGGGAGACTGGGACTGGAGTCACCTCTGGACTCTGGATGGGAGACTGGGACTGGAGTCACCTCTGGACTCTGGATGGGAGACTGGGACTGGAGTCACCTCTGGACTCTAGACGGGAGACTGGAACTGGAGTCACCTCTGGACTCTGGACGTGGACTCTCTGGATGGGAGACTGAGACTGGAGTCACCTCTGGACTCTGGATGGGAGACTGGGACTGGAGTCACCTCTGGACGGGAGACTGGGACTGGAGATTCTGGCATGGTGGTGGCCATTCTGGCCGAGGGCTCTGGCGTGGCTGCCATCTTGACGGGAGGTTCAAGCGTGGTGGTGGCGGCCATCTCGAATGAGGCAATATGGCTATTATAGACATTGTTTAATTTACAGGCTCTGGAACAGGCTCAGGAACAGGCCCAGGAACAGGCTCTGGAACAGGCTCAGGAACAGGCTCTGGAGATAAGGACCAGAGAATGGAGAACTTCTTTAAAGCCATCCGAACAGAAATGATAGAAGGGTCCCTTACTTTAGTTATGAGGTCTATGCTGTTTGAATGACGGGACGAGACCCTGGAACGGCTTCCTCTACCGTATAAGGTAATCCATATACCCGTTGAACGTCTTCAATGTAACTCTTCAAGGAACTGTTGTCGCAGCTGCAGGAACTTGCTGATACAGGTGTTTGTCCAACCCACACCAAAAGATGGTCTTTAATGTGTCTTCATTCCAGGGTACTTAAAGGGGAGACTCCACTGTTTTTTTCATATTAAACTATGTTATTCCCTTAACTAAGACGAGTTGATACATACCTCTCTCGTCTCAGTGCGTGCACTCAATCACAAAAAGTGGATAACTATAATGTATGGCGGAATACCACAGCAAGTGCTTGGGAGCACTTCGACTCGGTGCATATATATCTATGGACTCGGCGCAGTAATATCATCACTCCGGAGAGGGAGAGGACTTTTCACGAGTGATGATATTACTGCGCCGAGTCCATAGATATATGCACCGAGTCGAAGTGCTCCCAAGCACTTGCTATGGTATTCCGCCATACATTATTATCAAGGCTCAAGGCTCTGTCCCTTTGTCCTGTGGTGTGCCTCAAGGCTCTGTGTTCGGCCCTCTGTTGTCCATACTGTAAATGTTTCCTCTTGCCGAGATTATTAGGAGTTTTAAAGTATCTTATCATTGTTATGCTGATGATATCCAATTATATATATATATCTTATAGTCCAGATAGATTAGATAAACTGTCCCTGTTGTAGAATTGTCTAGTCTCCATTAACAAATGGATGGCAGACAACTTTCTCCAACTTAATAAAGATAAAACTGAGGTGATGATCATTGCCCCAGATACCATTACCCCTAAGATTAGGCAGGCCTTTGGGGGTTTATCATCCTCTGACTGTGGTGATATAAGAAATCTGGGTGTCTTATTTGACAGGTCTATGTGTTTTAACAGTCATGTAACAGTCATGGTTCGTTCCTGTTTTTCCATCTCAGGAACATTGCTAAGATTAGATCTATGGTTTCAAAAAAAAGAGATTGAGATGCTTGTTCATGCCTTTATTTCTTCACAGCTGGATTATTGCAATTTTCTGTACACTTGTTTGAACAAATCTTGGATCGACTGCAAGTCGTACAGAAGGCTTTTGACTTGGAGGTCGCACATTACTCCTGTGCTTAAGGCCCTCATTAGCTTCCTATTGGGTTAAGAGTGCATTTTAAAATTGTAGTCATTACTTACAGAGCTTTGCATGGTCAAGCACCCTCTTACATCCAGGGTTTATTACATGCACACGCCCCAGGTCGGTCTCGGGTCTTCAGGCCAAGAGCTTTTAACCGTTCCCAGAACCCGTCTTAAGACGAGCGGCGACGTGCTCTCTGTGTGTGGCCCAACAGCATTGAGAACTATGGCTTCTGTGGAATCTCTTGAAACACGTCTGAAGACACATCTTTTTGGACAAGCTTTTAATTAACAATATGATTTGGCGTTTATTCAATTTCTATGGTGTTTGATGGCATTTCTACAGATGTTATTTTATTTGTTTTGATATTATTATTATTATTTTTTACTGTATAACACTTTGTTATGGAAGCTTGTTTCCGCCACAGAATGAAAAATAAAAAGGTAATTGCGTCTTTTTATCTCACAATTCTGACTTTTTTCTCACAATTGCGAGTTTACATCTCGCAATTCTGACTTTATTTCTCAAAATTGCGAGATATAAAGTCAGAATTGTGTGATATAAAATCGCAATTGCGTGTTATAAAGTCAGAATTGTGTGATATAAAATCGCAATTGCATGTTATAAAGTCAGAATTGCGAGATATAAAGTCAGAATTGTGTGATATAAAATCGCAATTGCGTGTTATAAAGTCAGAATTGCGAGATATAAAGTCAGAATTTATTTATATAAAATCGCAATTGCACGTTATAAAGTCAGAATTGCGAGATATAAAGTCAGAATTGCGTGATATAAAATCGCAATTGCGTGTTATAAAGTCAGAATTGCGTGATATAAAGTCGCGATTGCGTGTTATAAAGTCAGAATTGCGTGAAATAGTCGCAATTGCGTGTTATAAAGTCAGAATTGCGTGTCATAAAGTCAGAATTGCGAGATATAAAGTCAGAATTGTGATATAAAATTGCAATTGCGTGTTATAAAGTCAGAATTGCGAGATATAAAGTCAGAATTTATTGATATAAAGTCGCAATTGCACGTTATAAAGTCAGAATTGCGTGATATAAAGTCGCAATTGCGTGTTATAAAGTCAGAATTGCGTGAAATAGTCGCAATTGCGTGTTATAAAGTCACAATTGCGTGTTATAAAGTCAGAATTGCGTGAGATAAAGTCGAAATTGCGTGATATAAAGTCAGAATTGTGAGGTATAAACTATTCTGAGGGGAAAAAAGTTACTTTTTTTCCTTAGAATTGGACTGATAACTCGCAATTGCGAATTTATATCTCACAATTCTGAGAAAGGATGTCAGAATTTCGAGACATAAACTTGCAATTATGTGTTATAAAGTCAGAATTGCGAAATGTAAACTCGCAATTGTGAGAAAAAAAGTCAGAATTGTGAGATAAAAAGTCGCAATTCTGTCTTTGTATCTCGCAGTTGCGACTTTATTTCTCAGAATTGCGACTTTGTATCTCGCAATTGCGACTTTATTTCTCACAATTCTGACTTTATATCTCGCAATTGTGAGATAAAAAGTCGCAATTCTGTCTTTTTTTCTCGCAATTGCCACTTTTTTTCTCGCAATTGCGACTTTATATTTCGCAATTGCGACTTTATTTCTCACAATTCTGACTTCATATCTCGCAATTGTGAGATAGTCACAATTTTTTAAAAAATTTTATTCAGTGGCGGAAACAAGCTTCCATACTTTGTGACCCTTCCTTGTCTGTGAAAGTTGCTATATAAATAAACGTAACTTACTTAGTAATATTCCTGCTGCCGTCTCTATAATAACCCTAATCAAACAACAAAAGACAAAGAGAAAATTCACTTGCTCTTTATTTGTAATGTGTATTTTACTTATAAAGCGCATTATTTTACACTTGATTCCAGTTTCTGTACCTGAAATCATATTTTTGTTCAGTTGTAACTTTTTGCAATAGTAATTAAAAAAGAACAAGTAAAAAATTAGCAGTGTTTATTTGCTTTTTAATAATGCTTGAAATTTACATAAGTTCGGCTAGTTGTTTTTCTATGTTGTTTTTAAGCCACAGGCAAGCGTTCCCTGTTCTTTAACTTGTAGATTTCTGTTCATGATATTCAGCTACAATTAAATGTTTTGCAATAAGACCAAATGGTAATGATATCTAAGTTTTTTATTTTTTTTTACCTTATTGGAATTGATAGGAATCGCAATCGATAAGCAGAACTGAAATTGGAATCGTTAAAATTCCGACGATTCCCAACCCTAATTGAAAGTGTTGTTCTTCGCTGAGAAACTCCCAGCTTTATTTTGAAGAGTGTGTTTATCCACGGAGTAAGAGACACAAGCATTAATGATTGTAAAGTGAGTCTGTTTATTAGAAGAGGAACAGAGATGAAGCCGCTCACACACACACACACACACACACACACACACACACACGTCCTCAGGTCTCCCAGCCCTTGCCCCCGGGCTGCTTGGGGAGCCGGAGCCCCACGAGACCGGCGGCCTGGTCGATGCGCACGTCTGCTCTGGGCGAGTGGTAGCGCAGGTGCAGACGCAGGTGCAGACGCGTGGAGCTCAGCAGACACAGGTACGACTGCGCCGCATGCAGAGCCTCCGCCTGCGCTCGACACAGCTGCGCTCCGGTCACCTGAAACACACACACAGATCACATTCAGCAGGATCTTAATGTGGAAAAAGCAGCTTCATGAGCTGAAGGTCATGTTTCCCTCATTAATACACACAGCTCAAACACTCACCGCTAACCCAAACTGACCCAACACCACTCAACTGCACTGAGCAGATAAATATATATAACATTCACAGAAAATATATTATATTAGTACAATACAATTATTTATATCAATTTGTAATAGTTTTATTTTGACTAATTAGAATATAAATATATTAATTATAATTTTGTATGTTCTAAAAAATCTAAAATATTTACTTAAATAAATTAATATTATACTTAGCTATAAATATAAGTAATTTATAATTATAGATTTTTTATAATTATAATATATCAATTTTGCCATTTTTGGAAAATATTTAAAACATTTACTTAAAATATATGAATATTATAAATATAAATAATCATTTAATGAAGTATATATAATAATTTAAAAATATATTATTAATTATATTTTGATAAAATAAATAAATATTTAAAAAACTTCAAATTTTATATTAATATACTATAATATATTAATAGACTATTATAATGATGTGATGAAATTATAATTTTGTTTTTCATAATTAAAACAAATATATTATATAATTGTAATTTTAATAGTAAAATATTATATGTAAAATAGTATATATATATATATATATATATATATATATTATAATTTGATACAAGTAAATGTTATATTAATATAATATAATTCCAACTTGTCAGACAGTTTGTGGACGGACTTTAATCAATAATGCGCAAAAGAACTGAACTCTTCTGGATTGCAGTGACGCACACACACACACACACACTGTTATATCGAGCAGCCGGTATCGGTTCTGTTACCTGGTTCCTCCTGAACTGCTCCAGCACATATTTATAAATGAGAGTGTGTTTGTAATCGGAACCCTTCACGATCCGGATCTCCTTCAGAATCCCGCGACACACACCGAGCGCCGCCATCTTCACGACAGACACGACGAGTCGAGCACACACACACAGAACCAGGGGGCAGACTCGATCAAACAAACACACAGGCGGCTCTCGTCGAGTGCATGTGGTAGAACAGCCATATATAGATATCTATGAGAACAGCGATGAATCAATACATGATATTTGTAGAGGAAAAGAAATGCAATTACATTGGAAAATGACGCGAATTTCAATAATACATACATTTTAAACAATTATGTGTAGTATTTTTTAGAGTGTGAATAATAATTGACATTAACTAGGGTATATATTTAAAAGAAATATATATTTTATTAAACATGCTTTATTAATTATTGATTAAACATACTGACAAAATCTTTAAAGTGTCATTCAAAGTTCGATTCACTGCACCGGATACCTGTATTGCATCTGGCAGCAGCTGTACATGATTGAACGATAAAACACTGACAGCCAATCAGAATCCATTGTAATTTAAGGGCTCGCGCATTTAAAAAGGCAGACGACTTGCAGAGAAATGAATCGCTGAGGCCCAGAAATACTGTGTAACAAGTCAAACCCCCATTTCAAGACAATGGATATAGAAAACAATCGTTCATACCCTCTGTCGTTCATACCCAACACTGTCTTGCTTCCTTTGAAGTTGCAGTGTTGTTTTTATTCCACTATATTGACTATGTCAGCTAAACTCACTGTTAGCTCATTACACTAGCTTCACTCGACGCACAGCATGCTGAGGACATCTGCTGGTGAAAGCCTGCAAATGCAACAAGAACAGCAAAAATATGTTGGATTTCATGCGATTTCTCATTGTGGTGGTGATATTATAAGTAATAATTATTGAAAATTCGATGACGTACACACTTTAAAACAGCACGTAAAAACTGCCAGGTTCAAAAAAATTTCAAACATCATTGATAAAAATCATCTAAATTCAAGAGTTCTCTTTTCGACAATTGACTTATTTTTGAACCCCAGATTAGAGGTGCATGGAATTTTACCTGTGGATTTATGTGAAAGTCTTTTGAAATTTTTTGTCGGTCGTATATCGGACATCCGAAGGAATATACAACAGTGCTCATTTGAGCCTATGGATGATAACTCATGCTGTGCTGTCCGATTTTGAGCCTATCTCCTTACCCACACTTTTAGACATTGTTTGTAAGCTAAAGCCGACAGTTTCTCCACAAGATATTGTTCCTACAGTGCTATTTAACCCTCTGGGGTCCTTCGGCCCAAATGGACCCGAAGCATTTAAATTGTTTTTTTTTTAAATCATTGCTTTATCGGAATGGTCCGAAATTTGGTGACTTTGTTGGTACTTAGCATATGAACACCCCAAAAAATTGGGGACAGGATTTGAATAGTCTAAGTGGTTGTAAAAAAAATAGTCACACTCAGGACCTTCGGGACACATCCACACACACACACACACACACACACACACACACACACACACACACACACACAAACACACTTTTATACACATACACACTAATAAATTCAGATTACATATGGGTTTTGAATTTTTAAAATGCTCAGTTTGTCCACCATATGGCATCCATCTGAAAAAATAAAAAAATAAAAAATATATATTTTTTAAATTTCTATTATATTCAATGGGAAAAAAAAATGGGTCATAATTATTGCATTAATATTAATTATAAATCATTTTTATTTTTGAAATTATCTCAAAACACCAAAAAAGAAAAGAAAAAATATTATAAAAAACAAGTAAAAAAAAAAAAAAGATGATTTTTTTTTAATAAATATTAATCCCACCCTTCCGGCCCATTTGGACCCGAAGGTCCTGAGTGTGACTCTGAAATGAAGGACCCCAGAGGGTTAAGAAAGTTATTGAGTTGATTGGTCCATTTATAGTATCAATAATTAATAAGAGTCTACTCTCTGGAATTGTTCCAACCTACTGTAAACATGCTATAGTGCATCCTTTGCTGAAAAAAACTAATTTAGATAAGAATGTCTTGTGCAATTATAGATCAATCACAAAGCTACCTTATCTAGCAAAGATCTTGGAGAAAACAGTCTTTATTTAACTTGAGTCCTTCCTTACTGACAATACTATTGGTGAAGTCTTCCAGTCGGGCTTCAAAAAACAACATACACTCTAAAAAATGCTGGGTTGTTTTAACCCAATTTTGGGTCAAATATGGACAAACCCAAACGTTGGGTTAAAAATTTTATGTAAAAATTTAAACCAACGGCTGGATTTGTCCATATTTGACCCAAAGTTGGGTTAAAACAACCCAGCATTTTTTAGAGTGTACAGAATCTGCATTATTAAAAGTATTTAATGACGTTTTTATGGCCACAGATATTGGTGATTCAACAGTACTTCTATTATTAGATCTTACAGCAGTGTTTGACACAATTGACCATAACATTTTAATGTCACGCTTAGAAAATTATGTAGGGATTCGAGGTAATGTTTTAAATTGGATTAAGTCTTATTTTTATAATAGAAGTTTTGCAGTACAAATGGGAGAATGTACTTCAAGATCTGCATCTTTGTCATGCGGTATTCCACAAGGATCTATTTTGGCGCCAGTTTTCTTCTCACTTTACATGCTTCTGTTAGGTCAGATTATGAGAAAATATGAGATATCCTTTCACTGTTACGCAGACGACACCCAGTTGTATCTACCCCTAAAACCAACTGTCCCTGCTGCTGTTGGTTGGCTGGTAGAGGGTCTCGGGGAGATTAAAAGGTGGATATCTGCAAATTTTCTGTCTCTAAATGAATCTAAAACAGAAGTGATTTTATTTGGTCCCTCTGAGTCTGCAGACTCATCTAAAATTGAATTGGGTACACTATCCCCTTATTTGAAGCATCAAGTAAAAAATCTAGGTATAACTTGTGATAGTGCGTTAAGATTTGATAAGCAGATCAATCTAGTAGTTAAAATGAGTTTCTTCCAGTTAAGATTAGTTGCTAAAATTAAGCCCTTTGTAACACAGAAGGACCTGGAAAAAATAGTTCATGCGGCCGCCAGACTCCTGACAGGCACTCGAAAATTCGAGCATATCACTCCAATATTACACAAACTACATTGGTTGCCAGTTTTATACAGGATTAATTTTAAGATACTCTTATTTGTTTTTAAAGCATTACATGGTACTGCCCCTACGCATGTAGCTGATCTTATCCGGGTACATAAACCAAAAAGAGCATGGCATTTGATTGTCCATGAGTATGTGCTGGTGTAATAGGTTTTTATTGACGCCGCTTAGATGTTGAGGTGTCCATGGCAATGCGTAGAATTTAACTGTGATTTTCTGATTGTTATTTTATCCTATGTACAGCACTAAGGTCAACTCTGAATTTTGCACTAACTGTAGCTTGTTTATTGAAGATGCAGGACAACCAGCTAATAAAGCATTACAGTAATCTAGTCTCGAGGTCATGAATGCATGAACTATCTTTTCTGCATCAGAAACAGATAGCATGTTACGTAATTTAGCAATGTTTCTAAGGTGGAAAAAGGCTGTTCTTGTGACATATGAAATATGATAATCGAAAGACAGGTTGCGGTCTAGTATAACACCCAGGTCTTTTACTGTAGTGGATAAAGTAACAGGACATCCTTCTAAATTAAAGTTGTATTGTAAGAGATTTTGTGGGTAGTTTTTTGGACCAACAAGTAATACCTCCGTTTTATCTGGATTTAATAGCAGGAAATTATGCGTCATCCAGCATTTTATATCTTTAAGACACTCTGTCAATTTAGATAAGTTAGTGTATTCATCTGGCCGTGATGAAATATATAATTGAGTGTCATCAGCATAACAGTGGAAATTAATTCCATGTTTTCTTATAATATTACCAAGTGGCAGCATATATATTGAGAATAGCAGAGGGCCTAACACCGATCCTTGCGGCACTCCATAGTCTACTGACGTTATCTTCGATTTTTCCCCATTTAAACAGACAAAATGGTAACGGTCCGATAAGTACGATCTGAACCAGCTTAATGCCTGTCCCTGAACACCAGTGTAGTTTTGTAGTCGATCCAAGAGTATTTTATGATCTATAGTGTCGAACGCAGCACTAAGATCGAATAGAACTAGTATTGAGATACAGCCTTGGTCAGAAGCTAAAAGTAAATCATTTGTAATTTTAACTAGCGCAGTTTCTGTGCTATGATGCGGTCTGAATCCTGAGTGAAATTTTTCATATATCTCGTTTTCTTGCATGAAAGAGCACAATTGAGCGGACACAGTCTTTTCTAGTATTTTAGACATAAATGGAAGATTTGAAATGGGTCTGTAATTTGCTAAGTTATTTGGATCTAATTGCGGTTTCTTAATGAGAGGTTTTATTACTGCCAGCTTGAATATTTTTGGAACATGACCTAAAGATAAAGACGAGTTAATAATATTAAGAAGAGGCTCTTCCACTACAGGTAACACTTCTTTCAGTAGTTTAGTGGGTATTGGATCTAATAAACATGTTGTTGGTTTAGATGCAATGATAAGTTTATTTAGCTCTTCCTGTCCTACAGTTGTAAAGCGGTGTAGTTGTTCTTGAGGGGCCATAATTGAGGCTGAATCATAAGACACCATAGAGGATTGTACATTTACAATTGTGTTTCGGATGCTTTCTATTTTCTTATTGAAGTAATTCATAAAATCATTACAGCTATACTGTAACGGAATATTTTGCTCTGGCGATGTCTGTTTATTTGTTAGTCTAGCCACGGTGTTAAATAAAAACCTTGAATTATTTTGGTTATTTTCTATTAGTTTGCGGAGATGCTCTGCCCTGGCTGCTTTTAGAGCTTTTTTTATAACGTGACATACTGTCTTTCCACGCGATTCTAAAGACCTCTAAATTAGTTTGTTTCCATTTACGCTCTAAGTTACGAGTTTCTCTCTTGATAGCATGTGTAGTACTATTGTACCATGGTGCTTTAGTTTTCTCTCTAACCTTTTTTAATTTATTGGTGCAACAATATCTAATGTACTAGAGAAAATGGTGCTCAAACTGCTGGTCATTTCCTCTAGTTCATCTGTTTGTTTGGGTTCACTGAGCAGCTGAGATAGATCAGGTAAGCTATTTGAGAATCTATCTATAGTGGTCGGAAGGATTGTTCTGCCTGGTCTATAACGTGGCGCAACATGACATATTTCAGCAGTACGTATTATACAAGTTACCATGTAATGATCAGTGAGATCGTCACTTTGCGGTATAATATCTATATCGGTTGAATTGGTTCCGTATGATATAATTAAATCTAGTGTATGATTTAGACGATGAGTGGGACCACTGACATTCTGCTTGACCCCAAAGGAGTTTAATAAATCTGTAAACGCAGTCCCTAACGCATCATTTGTGTTATCTACGTGTATGTTAAAATCTCCAACAATTATTGCTTTATCGGCATTGACCAATAGATCCGAGAGAAAGTCTGCAAACTCTTTTAGGAAATCAGCATATGGTCCTGGAGGTCTATATACGGTCGCCAAGGCTAGAGATAATAGGGATTTCTTTCTTACATCTAAGAGCGTAACATTTAGCACAAGTACTTCAAACGAATTAAACCTGTGACCTGTTTTCTGAGCAACATTAAGAATATCTCTATAGATTGTTGCAACACCGCCGCCACGGCCGATCAGACGGGGCTCATGCTTATAACAGTATCCTGGCGGAGTAGACTCATTTAGACCGAAATAATCATTTGGTTTAAGCCAGGTTTCAGTAAGGCAAAGTACATCGAAGCTATTATCTGTGACCATTTCAACCATTTCACTCGACATAACACACGACAGTCAAATATGTTGTATAATATAACCCAACTTGTCGAGAGTGACATCTCCACCATCCACAAACATATCCTCTGCTACCGAGGCAATGGATGAAACATCGCTCTTCATCAGAAATGTGATCTTCCAACTCATCACTGTCACGGCGAGTACACTGGTCAATAACTTCTTCAAGTGAGAAGTGTGTTTTTCTAGTTCTTTTTGTCATTTTACACCTGTTACCTTCTTTCGTCCCACTGAAGCTGCATATCAATCTTTACAGAAATGTATTGGCTATCAGAAACGACAGTCATTTCCATACTCTATTACAACTGGATTGATTTATTATGTTTTATGTTTATTTGGCTGTTGGTGGTCTGACAAAGAGACCGATTGTACCCGCTGTGTTGATTGTATCTTTAAAATGGTTTACATCGTTCGAATCACGAGTATCTCAGCTTCAAAGATATGTAACATGTTTACTTTTTGTTTTTGGACTTTTTTCTTGCAAGAAGTTAAACCCCTGAAACAGCCCAGTGTCCCGCGGCACTGGTTAAAATAAAAGTCTATGCTGCTTTATATTGTAAATTGACCATAAACTCCCACAATGCATGTCAATTTTGCGACCCACGAAGTAATGGCATTCCGCCACTAGACTGCAGTGTTTCCACATCAGCGTTTAACTAAGCAGTCTTCCAGTAAGTGGAGTTGACAAATATTTACAAATAACCCCAAAGTTTTCAAGAATAGGAAAAATTGATGGAAAAGGAAGGAAATTTAATGAAAGATGGGAAAGCATATTGTGCTTTAAAGGGTAACTAAACCTATGGTCAGAGCCTGACTCCACCCACTGGCAATATTTAAAAAATGCTGGAAAAGTGGGCGGAGCCCAGCGGAGATAGAGGGGATGAACGGATACTCTATCCTGACCGTTTTCAATACTCCCAATTCCAACTCCTGACAGTGGTTTTGACGAAACAAGATGGTTTTTATACTGCCATGGGCGTGGTAGCTCGTACCAAGGGCGAGGTAAGCTGAAACCTGCTTACGTCCGCTCTCACCGCTACCGTCACGAACTACCGCAAACATCCAATAGGAAAATTCAACTGCAGTAGCCACCGTTCAACCTGAAGAGGGCAGCACTCAGACGTTTTTACACCATATATTGTAGAATTAAAACACTTTATACCCAAATGTCAAAAAAGTTACTCGAGTAAGCCCCAGTCTTACAGATCATTAATTTAAAAAAGTTGTTTTAGTGTTTAGTTACCCTTTAACCCTCTGGGGACCAAGAACGCGCCGGCGCGTTTTGCTGGGTTTTTTTCACATAGCAGCAACATAGACTTAAAATACTCCATCATTTATGGTCATATAAATAAAATCAATACATGATTATAAACTATAGAGGGTCTTCTTTTTTTGTGTACACTCACATTAACATCAAAACCTTGTTTTTTTTTTAAAATAAATAAAATAAACAGGGTGCGCTTTCAGCTCACTCTGTCTCCGCAAAAATCTTTCTGAAACATGTCTGGAAAATGAACGGAAACTCCGCTAATACTTATCACACAAACATGAAACATACGTCTAAAGAACGCTTTAAATTTCTACTTTTAAATAAAACAATTCACATTTAAAACAAATATTCTCCTGCAATGTAATCTGTCTGAAACTAAAGAGAAGTACAGTTTCTCCTGTCTCAGCTCATTATCGTTAATTTGTTCACACCCACTCGCAGAGCGCGCTATTCATAAGATAATGTGTTGAGGCGATCTATGCAAAATAGATAAACGCCCCCAGGCAAATGCTGTAAACACACTAAATTTTTTTGTCAGATTAAGATTCGTCTTGCGCGGCTATGAGGAATAATCCTGGGACATTTACCACAGAACAAGTGCTGGTTTATTTTCACTTCGAGGAGGAGCAACAGATTCAGCTGAGAAGTGTAAGTGTTTTATGCTTGTGCTTTGTTCTAATCGCGATATAGAATAACGTTAGTGTCTGTAAATGGAAAAATAGCATACTGTTTAAATGTGAATCATGTTTCTCTCTCTCTCTGTGTGTGTGTGTGTGTGTGAATGAATGAATGAACGCACAGATACGCACTGTTACAGACGAAATAAAAGACAAAATTTTGTTGACTAGTTTTGGATAAAGTTTTTCAAATCAAATAAGCATTAAATAAGCTTCAAATAAGCTTCAAAATAAAGACATCAGCTTTTGTTAGGAGTTTCTGGGGATAGAAGTGTCCAGACGTATGCACCCTGTATATTAAAGAAGAACATTTAATTATTTGCGATATATATATATATATATATATATATATATACACACACACACACACACACACACACTGCTTAGAATTAGAAGTGAACACACCCATGCTAAAGTTGACTAAAAAGAGGAATAAAAAATCTTAATGCCTTAATTAAAAAATGAGGAAAACTCCAATCTTTAGGGACATGAATAATGTCCCTGAATTCTTTGTGAATGAATAATTAAAAAGCAATTTTAACCAGAAAAATCTACAATGCATGCCCAAAGTCGTGCAGCCATATAGTTTCTCTTGATATCAGCATGTTCACAGGTGTTTTTTTTTTTTTTTTACAGGGACAAAATGCCATGAGTCCTGCTGAGTTCAACATTCACAGGAGACTGTAATGAAAAATCAAACACCTTGGAAATGACAGGTATGTACTATGTTTCAGGAATGGGACAATGCTGTGTGACTGTTCAAGCCTCTGTCTTTAGATCAGTGTGCTTACTAATGTGCTTTTTTGTCCTTTGTTGTGTATCTTTGGATTATGTTGTGTTGTAAATAAATCCAAACAATCTAAAAGCCATTCTTTTTTAACCCTCCTCATTCTTTGTGCAAGGCTCCTCGTAATGGGGCCTGATAGCACCTAATAGGGCCATTATGGGAGGGTCTTTGTCTTTCTCAGGTGTGAAATGCCATACATATTAATGAGAGATCACGACTCCTCGCATAAAGCTTTCTCAAACAAAACACGTCATACACATGCTAAAAGACTTTATTGACTTATCTGAATGAGTAGTCAGGATGATTCTCACATAGTTTTGGAGCAAATATTCAAGACTATGTGATACAATTTTCAAAAGTCTTGTGAAGAAATAATCAATATGTGTTTTGTGACCTTATTTCAGAAACTTTTATTTTTAAGTTTTTCAATAACCATGCATAAATAATATTCTCTCAAACATACAAACATGTACATACATGTTGCTCACAGATTATGGTAGCCCCGTTTGTGCTATATAGAGTGAATTTACACCTTTGCCATTAACATGTTTATAAATAACGGAAAAAAGCACAAATGTCAGTGCATGTCAAAACATCCCAAGGGCCCCAAAAACCCCTTGGTCCCCAGAGGGTTAAAGAGAAAAACTGATATGTCTTTTGTGTTGTGAGGCAGTTTCGGTGGTGAAGGAGTAGTACGTCTGCATTTTGACACCAGATACAGAGCTAGAATACAAAATTTAGCCTCAAATAAAAACAACAAATTGTCCAAGAACTATAAGGCAGACTGCAATCACAGCAGCTGTTCAGAAAAGCGACAGCCGAAAGGGATTCAGGAGTGAAGCTGGGTTTATTGTGGCTGAAGAACCCTTTGTCCCACCGTTCCCTCATGGAATCAGGCTTGTGTGAGGCCTTGTCTGAAGCCTGGTTTGAGACTTGAGATCAGTGTACAATGAGCTATTGGTAAGAAGGAGGGGCTTGTGACAGAAAAATAAACTTCTTTGTTTTTAATCCTAAAATTTCAGATTTTAGAGACAAAGTCTGTAAATTATATGAAGACTACATGCCATGGATTATTGGCATTATTATAACATAAATGTGATATTATGACTTCAAAATAAATACTCTTTGATCTAACATATAACTGTACTACTGGTTTGTTGGAGAAATATTTAAGAACACAAGGAAAAGAAAATATCACAAAAATGTTTCTTTATTCTCTTTATGTGGGATGAGGAGATACAGAACAAGGATTAGTACAAGCTGCACTAAAAAGCTACTATTACAAGCTATTATTTAACATTCTAGATTTTTTACTTTAACAAAACACTTTTGAGTCACGTGATATTCATGGGTCCAGTCTCACTCAGTGCTTAAACTCTTTATACAAAGTTACATGTATAGGCAGCTCAGAGCTTATGAGTATTGTCTCTTATACTAACTTTCAAACAGTAATCTATTGCAAATGTGCACATTATTTCTCATTAATACAGGTTTATATATTAATGCTTCATCTTAAATCATACACTAAAGGGTCAGAATGATTGAAATCACATTGATGAAAGCTCCTGTTATCTTAAGGGAAACAGCATGTATCCACTGAAAGTGTTGTGGTTATTCCCGTTATCCTGAATCTTGCTGCTAGGCCAAAGTTTCACATAGACCACATCTCCAGCCTCCAGGACCAACACGACTGCTTTAGAGGAGTTCAACGCACCCTGAGTCTGATGAGCATATGCCTTAAGTACATCCTTTCCATTCTTCACAATGTGGGCGTTTGCTGGATTTGACTGACTACCATGAGCATAGACGGAGAATGTGAACACGTACACTCCTTTCAGCGGGGCTGTGAAGATACCTAAAGCAAACAACAAGAGATACTAAAGAGAATCAGCTGATTCCTGTATGACTGATTAATTACCAAGCACAGTGTAATAGTCTGGAAATATACACATAATTTAATTCTCTTATACACATTACTGTAGAGAGGTTTGAATGGAGCAGAAGGGTTTTCATTATATAAATGAGTTTTATGACTCCACTTTATTAATAATTACCTGTAATTGGGTTGTAGGCATTCCCTATGTTTGTGAAGACGTTCCTGTAGACTAGTATGATATCAGTGGTAGAAGGACCAATATCTCCGCTGCCAGATTGCAGCAGTGAAGCTGAAAATGCTATCTCTCTGTCTGTTGTTGAAAAACATAAGCAATATTGTGATATATTACTGTATTACGCTAAGAATGCATTGAATTTAACTTCATTCAAACACACTGTTTCACCTCTATTCTCCTTTCTCAACTCTTCCACTGACTCAGAGAAAGATTTGACATTTCTGTGAAGAAATAAAAATATGTGTTAAATTATATTTATAATGCTTATTGAATAGGGGTGTAACGGCACACAAAACTGGTGGTTCGGTACATAGCTCCGTTTTGAAAGTTACAGTTCGGGAAACATCAAGGTGAAAACAACATAAAATTGCTTATTTAATTTTTCTACTCCAATTCGTTGTAGTTCTGTTGTGTTTGTTTTATGTTTGTTCTGAGAATAGAATTTTCCTCACTAGAATTCCTACTATACTAGTAAGATTATAAAAACAACAGTACGGACGCAATAATTACATTTAAGCAATTCTAAAATGTCATTTTATTTATTTGACGTGTGCACCACGCAAAGTCTGTCAATCATCATTAGAGCGCCACCCTCAGGCTGAATAACGCATATACATAAAAATTCTGACAAAAGTGTGTCGGATGTGTTCAGCGATCAGAATATAAAGTTTACAAGATAAACTAGTGTTAAGACCCAGAAAATGCCCTATGGCCAGGAGCCGCTACTGAACTAAACTTAGGGTTTATTGCGATTTCTGGTGTTTAATGGTGGTTAAAAAGCAAACAACACTGTGAGTGTTCGTCATTGTCCATGAGTATCGAACCGAAAGGACACATACTGAAAATTCACTGGTACGATTATGTGTACTGTTACACTCCTGATAGATAACACAATTTACACAGTAAACACTCAGTTTTACAGTATGCAATGTCCTGCATTGTTGTTTTACTCTCACTGGTAAAAGAGTGAATGTTACCGTCATGTTTCTTGCTCAGCTCCTCCAGGACGAAGGTCTGTTGTTCTGCAGCTTTCTCAGCATCCCTCAGTCGCGTCTCGAGGCTCTGATGTCCGCTCTCTGCTCTGTGACGGTGGCGGTCAGTTCCTCTCAGAGCGGCGTGGATGTCAGGTAAGCACAGATGACCGTACAGTCTGCTGTCAGGTGAAGCTTCAGCTCTCCAAGTGTCTGCTTTGAGGGGATTCTGTCCTCCGTCCTCAGATCTGAGCTGATGACTGATCTCATTCCCACCGAGTCCTCCATCGACCTGCGGATGTACGACACACACGAAGGTTTCCAACAGCAGCAGTAAACACACTAAACCCTTCATTCTTCCTGAGGTGTGCTCTGTCATCCCCACAGCCCCGCAGGTTCTTTATAGTGTGCTGATTTACTGACTTTTGGACCTGAGATTTTTATTGTTTCAGATAAAAAGGTAGTTAAAAGTTAATCATAATTAAAGGGATGTTCCGGGTTCAGTAGATGTTTAGCTTCATTCACAATGTTGAGCACAACAGAAAATATAAATCTTTTATAAATTAAAATAGATTGTCACACCACTTTCTGGTATCCATGTGCATCTTGCAAAATTACTAGGTTTACCAACTTTATGATGGAAAGAAGAAAGAAAGAAAGAAAGAAAGAAAGAAAGAAAGAAAGAAAGAAAGAAAGAAAGAAAGAAAGAAAGAAAGAAAGAAAGAAAGAACAAATAAACACTGGATGTAAATTTACACGGACAAAATCAGAAAGTGATGTTTATGAGCTTTGTGGCAATAATACTGAAATATTAAATACTACGAAATATTTTAATATTTTAAACTGCTTTAACTAAAGAATGAGTTTTGCATTGTAGCGACAATGAGTTTGTTTTGGGGGAATATTAACTCAAATGGGGGTAATATTCATAAAATAATGAATATGTATTATCGCATATACACCAATTAAAATGATCTCAATAGGGAACAGGTCAAACCTCACCATATATGAATAATTAACACGATTTCTCGATAAAATAGGTAGATAAAACCAGATCAATTAATAAAGGTACATTTTCATGTGATTCAAATTTAGTTTGTCACGCAATCTGTCCATCCGCCGGACTGGAAACAAGACTTAACTATCACAATTTACCAGCCTGTAAACAATAAATAACTTTCCCTGTGGCCACAAGGACAGCTATTTTCTTGTAAGGCACTTTAGATATCTCAAAAGTTTAACAAGGTAGAGCTTGGCAGCTTAAATCGACATTTGCAGGGACTTCAAGTTATGGGACAATGAGACAGATTCACTTCAAAAGATTATGGAATTTGATAAAACACAAACTAAAGATTACATAGACTACTCGAGTAAATATGCATAGCAAAAAACCAACAATTACACAAAATGATTGCAATACCAAGTATTGGAGAGAGAAAGTTAGAGAGAGCGAGAGAGAGAGAGGAGAGAGCGGAGAGAGAGAGAGAGAGAGAGTCTCCGCCAGACCGATCACATCACGGCCTGCACACACACACACGTTAGAGAGAGAGAGAGAGAGAGAGAGAGAGAGAGAGAGAGAGAGAGAGAGAGAGAGAGAGAGAGAGAGAGAGAGAGAGAGAGAGAGAGAGAGAGAGAGAGTCTCCGCCAGACCGATCACATCACGGCCTGCACACACACACACGTTAGAGAGAGAGAGAGAGAGAGAGAGAGAGAGAGAGAGAGAGAGAGAGAGAGAGAGAGAGAGAGAGAGAGAGAGAGAGAGAGAGAGAGAGAGAATTTGTCTTCTCAGGACAGAACAGTTCAAACAGTCACTTCACAAGGAGACCCCTGGTTTGTACTAGACAACCTTAAACAGCAATTATTTTAAATTGTACTTGCTTTTGATAATGGCTCTTTTTGTGCGGCTGGTTTGAAAAGACCTCGGCCTGATGTCCGAGGTTTCTTCCGGGCAGAGGTAGATGTTGCGATCGCGGAATATGATTATTCTTAAATTCGTTTCGTTCGTGAATACACTGAACGAAGGCAAACTATCCACTGAGGTAGATCAAAATAGAAAGAAAAACTTAGATTTAAAACGAAACTTAGAAAGTAAACGAAGAACTCCGGTTGGAGTTCTTATTGAAGAAGGCTCTCTCTGGCGTAGAAAACTGCAAAGAAGAGAAGTGGCGCTCCGTGTTTTGAAGGGAGCGGGCCACACCTTTCTTACGTGCTTGGTCCAATAGTTTGGAAGGAGGCGTGGCGGCCGCAAGCCTCTTCGTTCGCGAAATACACGCCCTCCGGGCCATGTGCAGAGGAGTCCAAAACTGGGTTATAATACACCAGGGACGTGCACAGGAATTTTGAGGGGCAGTTGCTCTGACCTGAAAAAAGGCCCCCCCCCCCCCCGCCCCCGCCCCCCGTCAGAGATGAGACACATGAGAAAAAGAGTTCTTCATATTATTGTTTATTTAATTATTTTTATTTATTTATTTTATTTGAAAAGAAATAATCTGGCTTGAATGGAAAAACTCGCTTGTAATAATAAAAAATAAAAAAATGCTTCGATTTTGGGAAAAAATACAATCCTTTTTTAACCTTTTGGCTTCCCGTACATTTAGTTGTGCTTCTTGCTGAGCTCCTATTCAGTTCGTGAGCTATGTAAACCATTTGCCATTGCCACAGTCACACCTGACACTTCAGCGCTCCCAATACAATCCTCCCTCCTTTAAACAAAACAGTCAAAGAATAAGTACAACAATATAGAACAGAATGAGGTTCAAACAAACAATATTTATTGAATAGAGTATTTTTTATAGAATGTTAACATAACAAGTGAATATTAACATAAACATAAATAAGAAGAAAATAATAAATTATAACCCTGAGCTTTGGCTTTTGGGATTAACTTTGGTTCTCTCTACAGCCTGGGTATTTTCAGCATCAGTATGATTTTTTTATTATTATTATGCATGTTGAAGCAATTCTTGATTATGGTTATTATTTACTGAGGGATGTGCATCCATATTGACCAGTATGTCCAGACTAATCAACATTTTAAATTCAATATAGCTTATAAATCAATAGTCAATCAATGTCAAATTGTCAATATATTGCTTTCTATCTTGCATAATTAGTGCAGTTGTTTAGAGTTTTTAACTACACTGAGACTAGATAATCAGTGTCTGGTTTTAAATGTATAATGTGTACTTTGATTGGGAGTGCCATCATTCACGTGCATATATTGTACAGTATGTCTGGTCTCCACATTTCTGCTTGAAAAATGCGAGTTTCATGTCGTGCACGCGCATATGAACGCACGATAACACACGCGACGCGGTTATGTTTTCCGAGCTGCAGTAAACAAACACCGTTGCACTTTGTCGTTTATCAAAACAAACGTAAAAAAATTGTTTTTTACTCTCACTTTTGTCAGGCACAAAGTGATGCAAGAGATGCACTGCCTGCCCAGCTAGGTTAGCAAGACCGAAAAACATCAAACTTTGCTGACATCAAACTTAGAGAGGAGAGAACACAAGTTTACCTGATTGTTGTTCCCGCAATTCACTCTCATGGTTTTTACTTCTTCCTCTTTTCGTGACCAAAAGGATAGTTTCGCTTCATTTTGTCATGGATGTTGTACACATTAATTGACGCGCTATGACACGAGATGGAGGCGGGGCCTTAAGTAATTTGCGGGGTCTTACGCACCGGTCGCGTGCAGCGCTGCAGCCAAGTAAACAGTTGAGCTGAGTGCCCGAATGGAAGTGAATGAGACTTTGCGATTTTTAAAGATTTTTTATCTAGGCCTACGTGAAATTCTGCATCCATTGTACGATCTTTTATTTTTATATTTTTTCCCTCGGAAGGGCAACCTGAGTCGAGAAGGGCATATGGGCAGTTGCCCGAACAACCTGAGCAACCCCCCTGTGCACGTCCCTGTAATACACCTATAAACTGGTATTAATAAAATAATGCATCATGTTGCACTTTGGGTTAAGTATTTGATGTCAATGAATTCTTCTGATCACAATGATACCGCGCACGGTATGATTGTGAGTTAGTAAGATTAAGATACATGATTCTTCGTGATTAGACGCATATCAAATCTGATTACATGCCATAAAGCTTTGGTTATAGCAATTTGTCACAAAGGGATCGTGAAACACAACAAGAAAAACATTTTTATTGTGCGTGTGTGTAGAAGAGTTCAACCAGCGTTCGGTCATGCGGTGAACTCTTGATCATCTTCAGTTCCGTGTATGTGTGTGCGTTCTTTCGAATTTGATGAGTTTAGCATCTGTTACAATGGCCAGTTGTCTAATTACACAATGTTCGTCTGTGTGTATGAGGTATCCTGCAGAGGGGGAGCCACGGGATCTTCAGCCAGAGCGGCTTAATGGGTAATGGGTCACATGCGCAATAGTAGTTCTTTGTTTACTTATCAGAGAATAAAGCCGCGTGGGCACATCAGTATCGGTAATTCAATTAAGTCCAAGCACCATTTGCTTCGTGTGCAGTTCATGAAGAGAGAGGAGCTGTGTATGAATCAGTAACTTAATTAAAAGTCCCATGACATCTGCTTTTTGTCACAGTCTCTGAATCGAAAGAATAATAAAAAACAGCAATTTAATCAAATGTCTCAGAACTGACCATCTAAAGTTGAAGTTTGCATGTATTTCTGTGGAGATTGATCATTCCACAAATGTTGCTGATGGAGTTGAACTTGTTGAATTCACAAACTTCCTTTAAATGTTATTTTCCCCACATACAAAAACACCCTGTATCAACAGAAAGGGAACCGAATAAATGAATGGATTAATTAAAAAAAAGGACAAAATCTATTTAATTCTTTCCTTGCCGTTAATGTATAATTAAATTATGTATAGAATATACTGAATGTAAAAAATCTACTGTATATGTGTAAAACTCACTAAATGGTTTACAACATTTTAATAAATTTATTAAACACAAAACTTGTCAAGTTAAATGTAATGATATAAAAACATGAGATGTAATAATTAACCTGATTTACAAGATAAGCCTTAGATTTAAGATAACATTTACAATGACTTGTTTTACTGTATCGTAATGTAAGTTGTGTTTTTACTCATGTTAATTATTACCTCAACACTGCACGTTTTCTTGGTCTCCCTAATCAAACACACCTGATTCAACGCATCAGCTCATAATCAAGAGCTAAGCACCATCACCTGACTCATGTTCTCTCCGATTTTGTCTTATAAACACAGTTATTGCAGCCAGAGATTATATAACGTTACTAGTCAAGAGCGCAACTAAAGAAAACACTGATCACCATAATGGTAACTTCAACTGAAACAATAAATCATCAACATCTAAACCTCTGTTAATTCTCAAACAGAACTGTAGACGTCTGACAGA